GCAAGGAGTAGGGATTGCCATGCAATGGATGCACTAGAGCTATAAGTGTATGAAAGCTCAAAATAAAACTAAGTCGGTGTGCATCCAACTCGCTTGCTCACGAAGACCTAGGGCATTTTGAGGAAACCCATCGTTGGAATATACAAGCCAAGTTCTATAATGAGAAACTCCCACTAGTAATATATGAAAGTGACAAAATAGGAGACTCTCTATATGAAGAACATGGTGTTATTTGAAGCATAAGTGTGGAAAAAAAGATACTAACATTGTATCTTCTCTCTTTTTCTCTCATTTTTTCTTCTTTTCCTTTTTATTTTTCTCCTCTTTTTTTTATTTTGGGCTATTTGGCCTCTTTTTTTCTTTTTTTCTTTCTTTTAGGCCGGAGTGTCATTCCGACTTGTGGGGGAATCATAGTCTCCATCATCCTTTCCTCACATGAGACAATGCTCTAATAATGATAATCATCACACTTTTATTTACTTACAAACTCAAGAATTACAAATCGATACTAGAACAAAAATATGACTCTATATGAATGCCTCTGACCCGACGCGTTCTGGGTACAGGTGGTGAAGCTCCACCATTGTAAGCCTCGCCGGTTGCCTGTGCCTCGAGGTGCTCGCGGGTCTCCCGTTCTTCCACATCTTCCGTGTGGTGGCCATCCAGGGGTCGACGGGCTCTAATCAAGGTAGGCCGTCGAGGAAGTTAAACCGAGCAGTGACACCGTGGAGGCGGATCGACATGATGTCGTACTCCCACTCCGCCTGCACTTTAGAGTGTAAGGAGCCAATCCAAATCTGCTTATGGGTGTCGTAGTCGGTGATCTCCGCGACCCACGCCCCCCACTAGTGTTGCCGCATGCTGAGGTATTTCCTCTGTGACTGTAGCAGTGGTGGGAGGGCGAAGAAGAGGGCACCGCCGGCCTCGCGGTAGGAGGAAGTGTCGTGGCAGCCGCACACAAGCTCAGGACCGCTCGTGGCGGCGTGGATCCGCACTGGGGATGGGCGGCGAGGAGCGGCTGGATCCATCCATTATAGGCAGTGGGCGGCGCCACCGTTGATGGGGTGGGGCTAGGGGCCCGCCGGCAGGCCGGGCTTGGGTGGCAACGACGGTGTGAAAGAGGAGGCGAAGTGGGGAAGGATTTTTACTTCGCGAGAGTGCGGTCGAGTATATTTAAGAGTCGCGGATGCCGCAACAGTGGCGGGGCTACAATACCTGGGTGGTCCCGTACAAAGGAAAGCCCACTATTTTCCTCTCATGGCCTAGGTTTTTCTTAATCCATCACTGTTCGAGCTAAGTTCTGGGCAGGCCATGACCCATTTGGCCTGGCTATAGCTCCACCAGTGCACTGTGGAGTAATTTTTTTCCTTCACTAAAGGTTTTCGGGCTTCGGTTAATTATTGGATAAATGAGGAAAAATGAATTTATCCACCTATAACAATTTATTTGAATAGGCTAGAGATGCTCTAAGTTCTTAACTTGATTTTTACTCCATCCGTTCCATAATATAAGAATATTTTTTTACACCAGTGAGTGTCAAAAACACTCTTATATTATAGGATGGAAAGAGTGTATGATTATTAGATTATCCTACGCAAATCCTGGCCCCACGCCCGGAGGGATGTGGATTTTTTTCCCACGCAAAAGAATCGCTGAAGCAAAGAGGCCCGCAAACGGGAAAGATACACAATCTCATTAGTTTTTGTCTGAACGTCATTGTCTTTTGTGACAACACTATTAATAAACACCAGTAACATGTAGTCTCTTCGTTCCTTTTAGTCTGTATATCAATTTTGTGTCAAGTCAGAGTATCTTTAATTTGATCAAATTTACAGAAAAAAATATCAACATTCACAATACCAACCAATATCATTAGATTTATTATGAAATGCAGCTTCATACTACATATATTTGGTATTCTAGGTGTTGATGTTCTTTAATTTAAACTTGGTCAAACTTTACAAAGTTTGACTTGACAGAAATCGTATACACAAAGTAAAAAGGAACGGAGGGAGTATATTTTTCTACGAGGGAAGTAATATGTGTATCGTCGGAAAAAAAACACAAGTAGCATGTACTGTAGACATGTAGCGACGTGGACCAGAAGAGAGATGCAAATTATCTTTTCTGTAATCTTATGAACTGCCTTAGCCTGGTTTTGGACTTCAGATTTGAGCAATTCAGCATTCAGTGCAAGTAAAGAACAGAGCAAGTGAGCTGCCACTATCTCACCAACCCCCACTGTCGGCGATATTTTCCGTGGTCCAATACATATGCACGTCCTTTTCAGCCATTCTATTTAATTCCATCGCTAGCTGTTGTCCCAGAATAATGGAGTATATAGTTTTTCTTTTTCATCAAGGTAGAATCATATAGCTAAACATAATTATCTTTTTTTCTGAACACAATACAATAAGCAGACACCTCCCCGCTCAAAAACAGGTATCCTCTCCAATGGCAATGGCCATGTCTGAATGTCTGCCGGTGCTGTTTGAGATGCACTGTACAGCGGCGGTGATATCTGCTGGCTGCATAAATACAGCACTAGGTCACATGTTTCAGCAGGAATGTCAGGTATTTTTGGTACTACAAAGTTACTACTTCCTTCGTTCCTAAATATTTGTCTTTTTAGAGATTTTAAATGGTCACCACATACGGATATATATAAACATATTTTAGAGTGTAGATTCACTCATTTTGCTCCGTATGTAGTCACCATTTGAAACCTCTAAAAAGACAAATATTTAGGAACGAATGGAGTAGTACGTAATAAAAAGTGGCACTGCTCTTAAGTATTTCGTTGCCATGCTTCATCATTCGTGCCCGTGAAAGAGAGGCAAAGCTTTCCACAAAAGCATCTTTTGCCTTCTTTATTTATGGTGGCGACGCAGTTGGCTTGGCCTGGATGCACTATCATAGTACCATTTTCCTACAAATAAATAGCTTCTCTTTGTTTTTTCAAACATTAAAAGATATGCAAATCTCAGCTAACACTGCACAACAATAGGCGCGGCTCGTGCTAGAAATAATTTAATGGGATCATCAAGCTAATGCTCCCATGATGGTACGTAGTTATGCTAAAAGAAAGAGGAAGCCGACACCCGGATCGAGCTGTTTATTTTTGTTTTTCTACTCAAGTATTAATTGAAAAATTTAAATTATTGCCAGTAGGGATTAAATTACTGTTCAGATATAGTATAGGCGGCTTCGTATAACAATTGATCCATGTGAGCAATGTCAAAAGTGATTGAGTGATGATGATGTGGTTGCTGGAGTTAACATGCCTAATTTACGGTGACCTTCCACTTAACACTGACAGCTATTTGTTTTTACGCGCATTGAAAGATGTTCACCAATTGACCGTAATTGTGGACCTTGCATATGGTATAGGAGGACGATAATACGACATAGAATGCGACATATATGTATGACTTTTCTCCAAAACAATGACATATGTATAGCTTAGATTATGATATACGCGGGTCAAGTGTGGCACTTACGCATATCTTGAACATCAACTCTTTTTGCCGACCAATTTACTCTGCTTTGCTACCGAACCTAGCGGCAAATGATATTCGTCGTGCATCGGATAAAAAGCATAATAGAAGGTGGAGGGGGGAGGGGAGGGTTAGATCTCGACCGTGGCACATCAAATATTTTCGATATGAGTGCCATTTGTTCTTCACCGACCTTGTCTTCTTTCTCCACGTCCCTGCCCAAACGATCAGTGATGTCCTCATCGGTTTCTCTGCTGTCTCCCCATTCTTTCTTCTAGCTTATCCTTCACCTCCTCGACCATCTGTGCCACTAGATCTAGCAGGTCATCCGCCACCAGGCATCAACCAAAGGTTTCGAGGTAGGACACCGACACCCCAACAAAGACAATTGGTTTGCGTCCCGGGGTGGAGCATCGCCACAAACCATGAAACATCGCCGAGTCCTCGGAGGGCGGCGGTCGCAGCTCCCCTCCCATCCCCTTCTTTCCCTTCCTCCCCTTGCCTCAACCCCCCGCCGATCAACGTGTTCGCTCCGCAAAGCCAGATAGCGAACGGCCGTTACCTAGTTTTCCAACAATAAATAAATAAATAAATAAAACAAGGGGGAAAAGATAAAAGCATTTTTTTTGTGGTTTTGAAAAATCGTGCATCCACCAGATCCACAGAGGCGAGCATTCAGATCTCACCAACCGCATACCCCACGCACCAACCAATCGCCAGCGGTTTATAAATAAGCACACCCCTAAACCCCTCACCCTCGCCGTTCTCTGCCTCCCCTCCTCCTCC